TGGTGAAACATTAGGAAGAACAACCTTCAGAACATGGCCAAAGAGCCCCAAAAAACCACAACAACCATTAGATCCCGGCCGTGAAAGCCTTCGCGAATACATTGATACATATAGGGTTGCACTGAAAGCCCTGGATTAGTCATAGTGTTATTATGCACATTCATCCAGACTAAGCTTTTTATTAATTACTGGCTTGCCTGAGTGGGGTTGCTTCAAATGTGTTTTGATGTTGCTTCTGTTTACCATTTTTACTGTGGTATTCATTTGATCTTTTTTAGTATTTGTATACTCATTTTTTTAGCTTTAAATATTGTCTTTGAACGATGTGAGCCACCTTAGTTCCTTCTTAAGGAGAAAGGCGGGCTAGAACATACATACATACATACATACATACATACATACATACACACATACATACATACATACATACATACATACATACGTACATACATACATACATACATACATAAGCAAGTGAGCAAGCAAGCAAGCACATTTGGGGGGAAAAACATCAAATGCTCCAACTACTGCCATCATAGAAAAATGGTGACTGTGTTCTGTCTTGTATAAGCAGGTGCATAGTAAGTGAAGTGTATTTTATCATTCAGTGGACTTAGTGATTTATTTTATATGGGGAGGGGTGTTCAGATTATTCATAAGTATCCTTCGCACTACCCAAAATCATTTTTTTCAGTCTGTCAGGAGCCAAGACATTAGTCAGTTTTGTCGGCTGCTCATTTTTGCTTGCATGGCACTAACCCCAATAAAATGAAAGCCAGGCTTCGGTTTTTGCCTCACCAGCATTATGCAGAGAGAGAGAGGAGAGGGGCTGGGGTCTAACAATCTTGGCACTGCCCTCTGAGAGAGAGAGAGGAGAGGAGAGGAGAGGGGCTGGGGTCCCTCTTGTTAATCTTGGCACTGCCCTCCCAGTAGAGTCAGTGCAGCTACTTCTCTGCATTAGCCAATCCCATCCTAAACCCGCACAGGATGCCGTGCGCTGAGATCTACGAAGGACAGAGTTTAGCCAGGAATCTCTACTGCACATTTTCTGATGCAACTATAAAACAAAGGATATTGCCTTTCTTGGTGTTCTACACTCAGCTGCCACGTATATAAAGAAGTAACCATTCTAATTATCTTGCTGGCTCTGTCATTTGTGCTCTTTCAGGGAAGGTTTTACTGCAGGCCTGAGTACGGGAACAGCTGCCACGTTGCAAGTATAATGAGAGGTGGTTCCACTCTTTAAACTTTTCCAGATGTTCTTGTCTTAACAGGACAAGTCCCAGCAGCTACACCATTTCAATGCCTTAACAGAAAAAAAAAGGCATGAGTAATCTACTGTTGAAAACATTCAGCCTTGCTGGTGCAAAACAAGTGAAATGCAAAACTGGAAATTGTATTATATGGCAGGACCCAGTGTAGCTGGCACCTCTTTTTCTCCAAAAACTGCAGAAATTCTGCAGGTGACATTTTAAACATCTCCATACACTTAAAAACATCTATTAAACACCTACATGTTTGGCTGCTGCTAAAAAAGACCTCAGCCTATGCACACTGACCTGGGAGTAAATCAGTTTGAACATAGTGGAGCATCATGCTGAGCAGACATACACAGACTTACTCAGGATATGCTGCTAAATTAGGGAACAGAGCACATGAACCATTGTTGTTATAGGTCATAAAAATTGACAATACATGAAGATACTTACTAACGGTCTATTGAGCCAGTGATCACATCACCCTTGAATTTATACCATATAAACCATCTAATCAATACCATGTGATCTAAGGTTACACTTCTCATGTATTCAGCCTTATCTTTTGCTGCTCAGATTCATAAATACCTCAAAACGATCTAATAACTAGGAAGGCCTTGCTAAATTTAGACTAGACATTAAGATTCAGTCTTGTTTGAAATGTCTCTTGAGGGAAATTTTTTCCTGTTCCAGTTTTGCTTTTCAACTCATAAGTAAAGAAGATCCAAGTAGAACTAAAGCTATTTTTCCAGAGATGTGAAACTTTCCCTTTTCATCCATGTATGCTGTAGTTATTGAATTTTGGACCACTGAGCACCTTGATAGTCCATCTGTGGAGAGTTATGATGTCAGAACAGTTTATCTGGGAAATCAGATCAAAGTGAGCATGGCAATTCCCTTATCCCCACTTGTCTTGATCCTGATAATGTAACGTGGAAAACCAGTAGAAGGGAATAAACTGGAATTGGCTCCTGTAGCTTTGGTGTTGCATATATAGACACAGAAAAACACACAACCATTATCATAGAAAAGTGTAATAATTTTAAAAGTGTTTTCAAAAAGCAAACAAACAATACCTGTAACCACATAAAGGCCTGGGTAGTCACTCCAATTATAAAATGTTTCTTAAAAGAGAAAGAAGGGAAGCGGTAGTGAACAGCACAGCCCCAGAAGGCCTCTGCATGCCCATGCTTGTCTCAATGGCGCCAGGTGATGGCCCTGCCGCCATCACCTGGCGCATCCTGGATGGCTGTTTGGGATGGCCATGGCCACGAGGCACAGAACATTAGCTTCAAGGTCCACTTCTAGATGCACACTGAGAGCATACAACTTGAAAAAAGGCAAGCTGAAATGTCCCGGCAACGTCTCACTTGGTAGTTCGGGTTATGTCCATGTTCTGAAAAGATGTTTGATTCAGTACTTAATTGAAAATGGACAACTGTGGTCCAACAAACATTTTTGTCAGGATTGTTGGATATGTTGGCTTATGCTGCTGAGAACTGCAGTCCAACAGTCTTTGGATGGTCACAGTCATCCATCTGAGAGGATAAAGTTTGGAAGCATCTAAACATGAGGAGGGAAGGAAGGAGCCATAAGTTACAACAACCACGTGCCACAGCTAGGAAGTTGAGAAAGCTGCCAATCGCATCTAAAGTGCACTCTAGCAATATATTCTAATTCATTTTACAGCAGATGTTAAGTCACTTCCCACAAACTCACTGGCCACAATCCAACACAGAATTAGTGCACTTAGGCCCATTGAAATCAATATCCTTAAGCTTTGCTGGATTGTTGCCACCCAGTATCTGCAACATGTAAACAAGCCCAGAACAGTCTGACGGGGTTGCGTGTTTTTTTTTCCTCCTTTGACGAAGAATACACTGCTGCCCTGTACCCTTAGGCCCAAGGGGAACATGAATTATTTTTTCTATGTGGCAGGAGACCCAATTCCATCCTAAATTCATACAGCTGCTGCTGCTAAGAAATGGCAGTCCTCTGCCGAGCGCTCCCCCCTCTGTACTTTGCAACAGGGCTCATGGTGCTGTTACACTGAGTCCATCGCAGGCTGCCACTGAGCCAGGAGGGTGAGGGGAGAGTGTGAATAGAAACATTCCATGTAATGGCATCCGGATACAGGGTAAGTTGAGCTACATGTAGTGGAGGGGGAGGAAGGAACTTTATTTGGCTCCTATGGTCAGGAGCAGCTGTATTTGTTTCCTTGTTTTTGTAACACAGAGGGTCAAGCTCTACACTATCCCATGCACAGTCCATTCATGAATGTAGCTTTTGCAACATAGGTTAGTAAGTCAGTGATAACTTACATTGGCTTTCTAACCAGAGGGTTTACCTGTGGCAGAATAAGGGCCATGGCCATATGGGGGAGCTGGCAGATGGAGAGAAAGATGATATCAATGTGGAAGTTCCTTTATTGAGAGAAAAGTGGGATATTGAATGAATGAATGTATAAATAAATAAATAAAACATAAAGCAAACAGTAAAAGGTGTCTACAAAGGCAAACAAAAATAGTCACATGCTTGTTGGCCAAACTGCTTGTCCTGCAAGTTGTCACAACTCACACCATAACTGCATTTTAAAAGAATTATTACATTTGGATTCTCCAGCCCAGTTGTGCATGAATATGCAAGTACGTCCATCAGTTCACATCTTTTTCATCTCTGTGAAAAACAGCAATCGTACAACCATCCCTCCAAAAATATTTCTGAAAGAATCTTAAAACTGTCAATATCTGCCACCCATCTATTTTGGAGGCTTTCCCCCTCTCTGATACTACTTGATTGCTTTGGTCTATCGTTCCAGCTTTTGGCTGCAGCCTCGGAATATATTTTGGAGGGAGGCGGTGGAAGAGCTCTCTTGGAATCTGAAGGGGAGAAAAAAAATAAATTGGAAAATAGAGGAGGAGGAGGAGAAAGAAAAGCAGCCAAACAGAAACCCTGCCCAGCCCAGCTCTGAACGCTTTCCTGTTGCCACCTTCTGAAACATTTAGATTCCTTCAGACCCTTGAGAGAGGCTGAAGTTTTCTCAGCTCTGTCGAACTGTTCTTGAGGTATGACATCACTTTTTTCTCTATTATCTATTTTCTGTGATTCCTTATTGCTCAGATTCCTTTCTGTGTTGCTAAGCAAAGAAGTCGCAAGTTGCAAAAGATTAAATGTTAGCATTTTCATTATGAACTAACTGGAGATGAGAAGACAGCTAGTTGCATTGATATGTGGGAATATTCTGCATTTTATTGGCTTTCCTTTGCTATATATCCACAAATATTTTCCTTGCTATGCCTTACTTTTATGCAATGCAAAAACTATTTTTCTGTCATGGTTGAAGTATGTTAATGGCTTTCACCTGATAGCATTAAAAAAAATAAACAAGGCTTTGCTGCTTATATCAATATATTTCTCTTACCATAGACATGTATTTGTTTACTTGCTGCAGGCTACAATAACTTTGAAGCCAGCTATTTCTCTGTCTTCAGGATTTCACAGTTAATGTCCTCCGCCCCATTAATTAATTAGATCTGGCACACAGAACATACCCTATCATTGGCTTCTAAAGTGTTCCTGAGGAACTGAACTTGTTGAGGGGTCTATAATGGAGCAAATTTAACCCAATCAAAAGCCCATTAGAATAATGGGAGATACTCCCTTCCCCATCCTTATTTTGGCCCATTTAAGACAGCTTGGAAGACTGACAAGAGTGCATAGTGAGAGAAGAATTAATTTCCAGCCAGAATATTGTGAACCTATTAAAAATGAAGGGTGGCTGTTCAAAAGAACTTTATTGCCTTTAAAGGCAGCATCTGCTTTCCTTGCTCCTACCCGTTCAGAATCGCACTGCGTAGGTCTGAATAACTCATTCCCTTCTCTCTACATTGAGCAGTATTTTATTCCAGAAGACAGCTAAGACAGTTAACTATAAAATGCATTGAAATGTAAGTGCCAAGAAAAGGTTTATCCAAGGCAAAGAGAAAAGGATTAAATTGCTTGGGGCAATTTATTCTCACCAAGGGATGAAACACAGAAACAAAAAATACAATAGATTTTTTAATTTTTTAGTCTGGAAGAGAAGCTGAAAGGCAGAGATATGTGTGAAGAGGATTAAAGTAAATGCATGCACAGTTCCATGAAACGGCTCAGACAAAGCCATTGTCTGCCACATAAGCAAAGAGGGAAGGGAGGGGGTGCGGGAGAGATATCAACTTTTCAAACTTTTGCCAAGCTCCACCTCCAGGAGGAACCCCCCCTTCTTCTCTGGTATGACTCTCCCACAATGGAATGTCGGCTCCCATGGAAACTCTTTCAAGGTCTTCTGGTTCAAGAGATGTTCGGCCTTTATGGCCTAAGATGCGGAAAGGGAAAGATGGGCTCAGCCAGAGCTTTTTCTTCTTCTTCTTTCCCTTTTTGCAGACTTTAGTTGCTGAAAAGTTTAAAGGCCCATGTCGAAACACTGTTAGATTGATTTTGAACTATCCTACTATACAATACCTGAGAGGATTTGAAAGGCCATAAGAGAGAGTCTCTTGACTTCTAACCTTTTTCACAAAGAGACTTTCCTGCCTATTATTCCTAGCCTCCCTGAGCACTTCTTTGGCAGAAAAAAACTGGAGTATAAATCAATTAATTAATGAAAAAATTAAAATCTGATACCTTCCAGACTGCCAATGTGAGTCTTACCACATGCATAGCAGTCAATCGGAAAAAAGAAAATTTGACCTTGTATCCCTAGACCCTTGTGACCCTGACCTTAGTTTTTGTCAGGGATCATTTTCTGAATCTTTCCCTTTAGCACAGAGGTGTTCTGAAACATATGGAGTAAAAATAAAGCACAAAGGAAGCTTCTGCCTCTAATTATAGCCTGCTTGTGGCCACCTTGGATTAGGATGTATAGTTTCCAGGCTTCCTTGAGGCTCAACGCAAGGACAACAGGTTATGTTCTTCCAAACAGCCAGCTTTTGGAAGGCACACTGAAAGAACAGTAATTAAGCACACATGTATGCCAGCTCTGTCTGTTTGTGGCTTAAAACAAAGGATTATGATTCAAGAGACTTGCCCCTAATTAGACATGGCTGAGTGACTAGTAATTTAGCTATTCTTCATTAACTAAGAGGGCTGCAGATATCTTTTTTGCAGTGGTGTACATTTGTATTTGTCTGTGAAGAGAGAGGACGAACTGGAGAGGAAGAGAGAGAGGGAGAGAGGAAGAACTGGCCTTTCACAGGTGGAGACCATCTGGGCTTCCCTCCAATCCAAATTTCCGGTCACTTTCCCTTCAGGACACAGTACTGGGAGTTGACAATGTGGCTTCTGAACAGCTGGGTTTGCTTTTACGGTGCCGCTGAACCCATAAAATAACATGACCAAAATTAGTACGAAAACAACAATCCAAACAGGGACTTTCCTGCGGTGGATGTCTTTAGCTTAAGGCTTCCTTGAAGTGTGTGGGGTATACCAGTTCAGCACACTAAGGGAGAGCTCATGTAACTAAATGCTCCCCCACAGAAGATGTGTCCTATACATAGAAAGCTAACCGTCACAAGGCATTAACCTGGTAAGTCTTCCTTGCTCAAGCCCAGCACTACCACTGCCAAGTCCCACAGACCAAATTGGGACAAGGCCCCACTGCCTGCTGCCTCTCCCCAAGCTTTCTCAGCATGCAGATTTTTATGCACAACAACCATCATGGCAAACTGCCCAAAGGAATATAGCCAGATCGATATTCCAGACTTAATAAAAGATGTGTGTGCTGATTTATATTTAGGAGTAAGAGCTATAAATAAATATAAAAACAGTAACTTTCAGCATAGTGGATAAGGCTGTGATCAGCTGACCAGCATGTACTTACTCAGTCTCCTATCCAGATGCAAGGCTTGGTAAGCAACTTCAAGATCCTTGTTCTTCTTATGACTCTTGGACTTCAAACAGAAGATGCTTTTCAATAATGGACAGTTCTTTTTTAAAATGGGGCAAATGGCAATCCTTGGCATAAAACAGGGTCACAGAGGCCACTGTGATGATGTAGGGTGTGCTTGGAACTATCTCTATTTTTCTGGTGGGAAGAAGCAGCAGAGCATAACTCTAAAATCCGATTCAGACATTCCAAGAAGATTTAATGTGGAAGCATGATCAAGGAACAAATTCTAGGCCCGCACCACTCCCAGTTGCTACCTCCAGTTAAAGAAGGACTGTCTGAAGAAAAGCCAGTTGGTGAGACAGGGGTCCTTTCTATGCTACTCAGAAAACCCTGATTTTTCAGTTGTGTGGGGAATTCCCCTACTATAGTGGAAGACTTCCTCTTCCAGAGAGTCTATTATTCACCTGTGGAGATAGTGGCAGTTGCAGGTGGGATGAGAACTCTTCCCCTCCTCACATTTTCAAATTCATCCCTTTTAATATTTATTTGAATATTTATTTAAAATATTTTACTCTGCCTCTCTCCTTAAAATGGATCCACAGCAGCTTGCGTCATTTAAAAAAACTCAATATCTGAAAATTAAAAAATCAGTTTTCCAAATATTTTTAAAAGAATTTTACAAATTATACTTTAAATGCTAGATAAAAGCATTACTAAAACAGATTTAAAAGCAACCAAAAATACAAACTACTCTGTTTTAAAACCCCACTTAGGCAGCCAGTCATTCAGGGGAAGCCTGACTAAAGAGAAAGTTCTTTGACTGCTTGTGGAAAAACAGCAAAGACGGGGCCAGACTGGCCTCCTGTGGGAGGCAGTTCCACAGTCTGGGAGCAGCAACAGAGAAGGCCCTCTCCTGTGTACCTACCAAATGTACCTGAGTGGGTGGTGTGACCAAGAGAAAGGTGTTTCCTGATTATATTAATACATGGCCAAGCTCATAAAAGGAGATGTGGTCCTTGAGAAAGCTTGGATCCAAACTGTTTAAGGCTTTTGGATTAAAAAGAGGTCTTTAAATTGAGCTTCAAAATGGATTGGCACCCAGAGGAGCTGCTGTAACAGAGGGTTATGTGATCCCCGCAACTAGCTCCAGTTAGCAATCGGGTTGCAATGCTTTAGACCAGTGGTTCTTAACCTTTGTTACTCGGATGCTTTTGAACTGCAACTCCCAGAAACCCCAGTCAGCACAGCTAGTGGTGAAGGCTTCTGGGAATTGCAGTCCAAAACTCCTGAGTAACCCAAGGTTAAGAACCAGTGCTTTAGACCTGCCGACGTTTCTGAACATTTTCCAGAGCAGCCCTAAGTAGAGTGCGTTATAGTAATCCAGTCAGGATGTAACTAAAGCATGTGTCACCCTGGCAGGATCTGACCTTTCCAGGAACAGGCACAGCCAGCACACTAGTTTTAACCATACAAATGCACTACAAGGCCCTGTCAGTGGTCTGAGGGTAGTGGAAGGCAGCAAACAAGTTTGAATGTATGGTTAAAAAGTAATTAGGGCTTCTTCCATGACTCATTATGCCATATATGCAAAAAGTTGATGTCAGCTGGACCAAAAGGAGCACAAGAGATTTCTGCTGCAGTTGTTCCCCTGCTGGCAGTCAGGAAGTGTTTGATCATTCCATGACTGCCGAGGGACCATCAAGGGAACCATCAGCAAAGATGTGATCTGACGTCCTGTGCTGTAAGACACCCCCTTCCCCATGCACACACTTCAAGAGCATTTTGCCAGTGAGTCCCAAGAATATCAAGCTAAGATTGTTCCATCTGCAGTCTTGAAGTTATATGGTCAAAGCCTGGAAGTAATGATTTACAGGTAACAGTTAATTAAAGCTAGTTACTTTTTGGAGGATCATAAGGAATGGAGTTACATTTCAAAGGTCTTATTGTAAAAGTAATATAACTAGCATGAACACAATTACTGGTATTAGTTACTTTCAAAAGTAGTTTGCAAAGGCATAATTTATACTTCTTTCTCTCAATAAAGAGACTCGTTGGGACTCAAAAAATCAAAGAGCATTAGAAAAGATTCTCGCCGCCTCACCTTAAAACCCATTCCTTGGCAGCTATTCAGTTGCTGAAAACCTGCCTGAACAGAAACCAGAAGGCAGACAAGCTGAGAACAGAATACTTCTCAAACAC